TTGGAGGAGAGACGAAACGTTTCACTAAAGAAGAACCATCCAGAGGACCTACTTACTTTTTCTTTTTGATTTTTTTCTATCTGGATCAGGACGTTTTCCATGTAGTTGCTCCAGTTGACCACTAGATGTCAGTCTTCACCAGCATAACATATTTAAATCATTTCTGAGTCTAACACTGTTATTCGATTGCTTTTGAGCTCCAGCGTTTAAACTTTAATTTTTTTTTAAAAAAGGAGCTCTGATTGTAAAGTAAAATAAATCAATACATACAAAGTTTTAGTATGGATTACAAACATTTACTGTTTTTCCTATTGCCTTCCTGCTACGTAAGCAGACACAAAGCATTGTGGGAAATCAGAACCGTGACCCAAAGCAACACTCAGCAGGATGTATACCTTCACAATAAGAGTGTTTATCTGAGAGGGGTGTTGTTGGATAGATCACATGTTGTGATTCATTGACAGTCATACCTTCTGCTGTTCAACATAATGATTCAACATAATGATGACTGGTAGATAATTAGTTATTAGCGCTATTGCGTTTTCATTTTAGAAAGTGCAAAACCGCTTATGAATTATAATAATTGGTAAGTCTGCTAAAGCGCAAATGAAATATTTAGGTCCGCAATTAGCGTATTTGCACTTTAGCGAGCTGGTGCTCACCACTGGCAGGTTTTCATTTAACACGTGTTGTTGTAGTTTTTAAGACTTGATTTAAACAGATTCATGTTTCAACTCACCAAGCTTTCGTCTTTTTTCGGGATCCTGCAAGATCTGATTGGGAGTTTGTCCTGCAGGAACGTTGACATAAAACCTGAGGAAGGTCTTCTCTGCCTCCTCCTCACACTCAGCCTCATCGGCAGAAACTGCAGGGAGAGAAAAACGACTTGGGTAAGAATAATTCCACTCAGGCTCATATTTAACCAACACTTCCTTCCTTTTTGTCTTTAAACGCAACAAACACAAAGAGCAGAAACCGAAGGAACACACTGACATGACTCTGCTTACACGTGTGGTCGCAGAGCGCAGCCGCAGCGTAGAAGTGCGAGAGTGCACGGAAGTGTTCCGATTTGACCTGAACCATGGAGGCCCAGGAAAACGGCACGTAATCCTTCATCAGAGGCTGCGTCATCGTCTGCTGCACCAGAGAGTAAACGTCCGACACCTGCAGACGTTTGAAAACTCACTGAAAAAATGACCCGTTTTTTTTTTTACTGATTACATTTAAAGGGCCTGTGACATGCTTATCCTTCAAATACAAAAAGTCTAAGAAATCATATTTATATTTAAGAAAATTAGCATAATAAACATGATTTTACCCATTTAGTCTCACAACTAGCATATTTTTTCTTGAATTTGGCTCAGCAAAGTGAAACAGGAAGTGACATCAAAGGGAACTCTTTAAGAAAAGAAACGCTCTGGTCTTTATTTCTTGAAACAATCTTATTTAAACACTTCTTCAACTCTGATAGTGAGTCAAAATAATCTAAAGAAACATCAGATTCTTCTCTAATTATTGTAGCATCGCTCTGTTTACATGCAGACATTCCCCTTTGACATCACTTCCTGTTTCTTCACATGCAAATATCTCAACAACTGTTCATCTCAATGGCGTGAAATTTGTTTTGCAGCATGTTATCAACGTTCTCTTTCCAAAAACGCATTCATGTTTATTTCAAAAATTTGTTGTCACAGGCAAAATAGAAAAAATAGAAAGAAATAGAAAGAATAAAGACAAACGAGCAGATCCACAATCATAATTTATAACCAGGTGCTAAAAAAAGTGTTAAAAATCAAAGCTTGATGAGTTTCAGTTTAAGGTAAGTGATAGAAGATTAGAGATATTAAGCTGAAAAATAATTACAAATATTCACCTGTGCAGCTTCTTGTGCCAGGTGGATCAGGGAGCTGAAGTCTGTTTCCTGCGAGGTGAGCGTGATGCGTTCAAACACACACTCCTGCACCTGAGCCACCATCAGTCGGACCAGCATGCCGAGCGACGGCGCGCTCATGTCCAGGCTCGGAGCGTTGGAGAAATTCTCTTTAAGGTAATTAAACGCACCTGGAAACAGGAAGGAGAAGTAGAAATGTGGGTAACACTTGATAATTACTTTATTTAGCCTTAATTAATCATTAATAAATCATTAGTTACATTGAAAACGTTATTAATTATGGATGATTTATACTTAAACAATAAATTAACACTTTTATTAATGTTTTAACCATAAAGGCTAATTACTTCCAAAACTAACAACTCATTGTTTATTCATGTGTAATAACTCAATAACTAACTAATCTATTTACTGTTAACACTGACTATAATCTGGTTTTAATTATTGATGCACCGCAGGATTACTTTATAGTCAATTCAAACATTCACTAAGCGCTAACACACGTCTAACACATGATACGAAAAAACATGTACATGAGCATTTACAAGTATGATTATAGAACATTTAAAACAGCAGCAGTTGACCAAAGCATTTCACAATTTACACCAACTATCACAGCAAAAACAAAGATTAAAGGGATCCCTGATTAGTTGTAACATTAGACTTTATTTGATAAACATGTATTTTAAATGTAAAATAAAGACTGTAAAAATACTGTAGGCTGTATGGTTTTGTAAATTTTTTAAAATATATTTTAACACGGATGGAGCCATTTTATTAAAACGCAAAGCATTCTGGGTAAATGATGACGTGGATAGGTCCTCGGTGCGAGGCTGCTAGCGAGCTATATCCACCCTGAAGGTTAATCTTGGACAATATCTGATGATCGACTCTTTTAAATGAAACCAGAGAGCGTTGACAGAGAGGAGAAGGTAGAAATGACTCAGCCTGGAACTGAAAATATGGATGGAGGACAACAGAGCTGCTTCATGGAAGAACAACCTCAGATTAGCCTGTTAGCTTTAGCATTAGCCCTGACGCTATGTTGCCTTATATGTATTAGCTCAGCACTAGCGCGACAAACAAGCTAAACTGAGGTCCTCTCCTTAATTAATGATGTTTTGAAAGCTAACTAACATTTACTAATGATTAAATAAGGCTAAACAATGTGTAATTATTATAAAGTGTTTTCCAAATGTGATTTAAATACACTTCAAAAAACAGAACAATGTTGAACCGTCTGTTTGGAGCCTCAGAACAGTTCAGGCATCAGTGTTCAGATGGGAGTGTTCAGGCGTGAGAGTGTTCAGGCGTGAGAGTGTTCAGGTGTGTGAGTGTTCAGGTGTGTGAGTGTTCAGGCAGGAGAGTGTTCAGGCAGGAGAGTGTTCAGGTGTATGAGTGTTCAGGCAGGAGAGTGTTCAGGCAGGAGAGTGTTCAGGTGTGTGAGTGTTCAGGCATGAGTGTTCAGGCAGGAGAGTGTTCAGGCAGGAGAGTGTTCAGGCAGGAGAGTGTTCAGGTGTGAGAGTGTTCAGGCAGGAGAGTGTTCAGGTGTGAGAGTGTTCAGGTGTGAGAGTGTTCAGGTGTGAGAGTGTTCAGGCATGAGAGTGTTCAGGCATGAGAGTGTTCAGGCAGGAGAGTGTTCAGGCAGGAGAGTGTTCAGGCGTGTGGGTGTTCAGGCGTGTGGGTGTTCAGGTGAGAGAGTGTTCAGATGAGAGTGTTCAGATGAGAGTGTTCAGGCAGGAGAGTGTTCAGGCGTGTGAGTGTTCAGGCGTGAGAGTGTTCAGGCGTGAGTGTTCAGGCAGGAGAGTGTTCAGGCAGGAGAGTGTTCAGGCAGGAGAGTGTTCAGGCAGGAGAGTGTTCAGGCGTGAGAGTGTTCAGGCGTGAGAGTGTTCAGGCGTGAGAGTGTTCAGGCAGGAGAGTGTTCAGGCATGAGAGTGTTCAGGCAGGAGAGTGTTCAGGCAGGAGAGTGTTCAGGCATGAGAGTGTTCAGGCAGGAGAGTGTTCAGGCATGAGAGTGTTCAGGCAGGAGAGTGTTCAGGCAGGAGAGTGTTCAGGCGTGTGGGTGTTCAGGCATGAGAGTGTTCAGATGAGAGTGTTCAGATGAGAGTGTTCAGGCGTGAGAGTGTTCAGGCGTGAGAGTGTTCAGGCGTGAGTGTTCAGGCGTGAGTGTTCAGGCGTGAGAGTGTTCAGGCAGGAGAGTGTTCAGGCGTGAGAGTGTTCAGGCGTGAGAGTGTTCAGGCGTGAGAGTGTTCAGGCGTGAGAGTGTTCAGGTGTGTGAGTGTTCAGGCAGGAGAGTGTTCAGGTGTGTGAGTGTTCAGGCAGGAGAGTGTTCAGGTGTGTGAGTGTTCAGGCAGGAGAGTGTTCAGGCAGGAGAGTGTTCAGGTGTGTGAGTGTTCAGGTGAGAGAGTGTTCAGGCAGGAGAGTGTTCAGGTGTGTGAGTGTTCAGGCATGAGAGTGTTCAGACGTCAGTGTTCAGGTGAGAGTGTTCAGGTGTGTGAGTGTTCAGGTGTGTGAGTGTTCAGGTGTCTGTGTTCAGGTGTGAGTGTTCAAGCGTGAGAGTGTTCAGATGGGAGTGTTCAGGTGGGAGATTATTCAGGTATGTGTGTGTTCAGACGTCAGTGTTCAGGTATGTGTGTTCAGGTGTGAGCGTTCAGGTGGGAGATTGTTCAGGTATGTGTGTGTTCAGACGTCAGTGTTCAGGTATGTGTGTGTTCAGACGTCAGTGTTCAGGTATGTGTGTGTTCAGACGTCAGTGTTCAGGT